GCTGGCTTGGCTGCTCAGCCCTTCCTGTCCCACAGCACCCCGGTGGATGTGAACAACAGAGAGATGATGCTGAAAATCATCAAGAGCGCCATAAACACCAAAGCCATCAACCGCTGGTCCGAGCTGGCCTGCAGCATCGCTCTGGACGCCGTCAGGATGGTGGAGCTGGAGGAAAATGGCCGAAAGGAGATCGATATCAAGAAATACGCCAAAGTGGAGAAGGTGAGTGCTGAGCTGCTGCTGTGCTGGGGGGGAGATGCTGGGATGCTGAGGGGGGAAGTAACTGGGCTCTGCTGCTCAGCCTGCTCTGCTGTTCCGTCCTCTTCGGTGCTGTCAGCCATGAGCTCATATTATGGGTTGTGTGTGCCGAGTGGGCAGCTTTGGGGGCGTGCTTTGGGGGCGTGCTTTGGGGGCGTGCTTTGGGGGCAGCTTTGGGGCAGCTTTGGGGGCGCAGCCGTGCAGCTGTGGTGCTGCAGGTGGATCTCGGCAGGTCTCCCTTCTCTCTGTCAGATCCCGGGTGGTTTCAGCGAGGATTCGTGTGTGCTGCGCGGCATCATGGTGAACAAGGACGTGACGCACCCCAGGATGCGGCGCCTCATCAAGAACCCCCGCATCGTGCTGCTGGATTGTTCGCTGGAGTACAAGAAAGGAGAGAGCCAGGTGAGCGGGATGGCGGGGCTGGGCCTCTGTTAATTGCTGTTAATTGCACGGGTCTCATTGCTGTTAATTGCACGGGTCTCGTTAGCAAAAAGTTCCAGCCCTACCAGCGCTCCCCCAGGGTTGGGGTAGGGAAACAGGTCAGCCATGAGCCAGCAGGGTGCCCTGATGGCCAACATGGTGTCCTGGGGTGCATTAAAAGAGCGTGGCCAGCAGGTGGAGGGAGGCGATCCTCCCCTTCTGCTCTGCCCTGTGAGGCCTCATCTGCAGCACTGCGTCCAGTTCTGGGCTGCCCAGCTCAAAACAGACAGGGAGCTCTTGGGAAGAGTCCAGCGGAGGGCCAGGAAGATGGTGAGGGGCCTGGAGCATCTCTGCTATGGGGAAAGGCTGAGTGAGCTGGGGCTATGCAGCATGGAGGAAAGGAGACTGAGAGGGGAGCTGATCCAGGGCTGTGAATATCTGAGGTGTGGGGGGCAGCATGGCGAGGATGGACTCTGTTCAGTGGGGAGTGGAGACAGGAGGAGGGGAAACGGCCGGAAATGCAGCACAGGAAGTTGTGCAGCAATGTGCGAAGGAACGGCTGTGCAGTGAGGGAAGGAGCAATGGGACAGGCTGCACAGGGAGGTGGGGGAGTCTATGGGTCCCAATGTGTCTCTATGGGTCCCAATGTGTCTCTATGG